CCCAGATATTTGCTCAGACATTCTGCATGTCTTGGTAAGGATGTTTTTGGATGTGTTAAACATTTAAATGAATAGACTGAGTAAAGCAGATGGCTCTCTGTGGTGTGCGTGAGTCTAGTCCACTCAGGTGACGGCCTAAAGAGAGTGAAAAGGCTGACCCTCTTGCAAGTGAGATAGAACTAGACTGCTTTTGAGCTGGGACATGGATTTTTTTCTCTCTGAACTTGAACTAAAATACTAGCTCTTCCTTGGTTTTCACCCTGATGGCCTTTTGGCTAGAACTCTACCACCAGCTGTCCTGGGTCTTCACCCCAATGGCCTTTGGACTAGAACTCTACCAGGGGCTCTCCTGGGTCTTCATCCTGATGACCTTTGGCCTAGAACTTCACCACCAGCTCTCCTCGTTCTTCGCCTTGATGGCCTTTGGTCTAGAACAAAACCACTGGCTCTCCTGGGTCTTCGCCTCGATGGCCTTTAGACTAGAACTTTGCCGGCTCTCCTGGTTCTTCACCCCGATGACCTTTGAACTAGAACTCCACTACCAGCTCTTCTAGGTCTTCAGCTTGCCAACTGCAGATCTTGGGACATATCAGCCTTCAAATTATGTGAGCCAATTTCTTATAATAGATCTCTTTATGCACACATGCAAGCAAACACCTTACTGGTTCTGTTTCTCTGGAGAACGCTGATTAACTCAGATAATGAGGAAACCAAGTCTATTTTTGCTCATCCTTGTATCTTCAGTACCTGACACAATACTTGACATACAGTTTGTGCTAAAAAATATGAATTAAATATACAAATAATGGAGCCTTCTTTACCTGCCAAAATGGTTGGAGATCCAAGCATCTTATCTCTGCAGACCTGGAATGAGGGGACCCAGGAGGAATCACTGTGACAATTGCTGCTGCCATGTATGAACTCCTGTGTGCCTGGCAGAGTGCTAGGATCTTGAACACATGCTGACACTTCCTTACTATTTCTACTTTCTAATGAAAAACCGAGGGCTCAGAAGACTTAAATAATGGCCCTAGGTCACACGGTACTGAGTGTCAGAGCCAAGTTCTGACTCCAAAGCATCCGCTCTAAACCATTCTGGTTCTGAAAGGGTTTGGCTCTTTTTCCATCTTGAGTTCGGGGTTCGTCATGCCTTTCAGTCAGTTTGTTCCCCAGTATCCAGGACTCACGTGGGCCTGTCTGACTCTAAAGCCCAGGCAGGTGCCTGTCTCTATCTGTGTGGTCCCTCAAGCCCAGTTTCACCTCCACTCACAGAGGCCCTGCCTCCTGGGACCGCTTTTGTCCCCTCTCCCAGCACTACCCTGCCCGAGGCCCAACCCTCACTCTCTCCTCAAGAGACTCATGGACGTTCCATTTGTCCCCATTCCCACATGTCATTTATCCCAATACTTGGGCATACATTTATTTCTTAAATAAGTATTTACTGCCAACCTACTTATGTGTCAGGCCCTGGCAGTACGTTGTGACCAACTGAATTTGCGTCCTCAGAGGGTTCACCATCTAAAGGGAAATGACATTGAGCAGCAAATATCACATCAGTGTGTGATGAATGCCAAGCTCTAATGTCACAACACTCACAGTTAGTTCAAAAGCAACTATTCCTTTTCCCTTCCCTTTCTTGTGATTTCCACAACCACATCCTTTCACTAGGTTCTGAATTTTGCTTGTATTGAGATGAAAGCACACCCTTCTAACTCCCTTTCTTCACAGCACTGCTGTGTTAATCTTTCATGAAACACAAATTCTGTTAACCCTGCTCCCCACGTACATAAGCACAAATCATTCCCCACATATGAGGACCCATGCTTCTCAAGCTGGAGCACATGTATGTACACACAGGGTCTAGGGAGAGGGAGGACGGGTACACGGGGGCACAGAAAGCTTTTAGGAACATCAATTTTGTTTGAAAGTTGAAGTAGGGTGGAATGTAATTATTAAATTAAACTGAAAATAGACATTTCAAGGGGGTAAAAATGCAAAATTCACATGAAATTCTAAATGAAAGAATAAGACTTTAAAGAAGATCTGCCAGACATGTGCCATTTTGGTTTTGATGATGGGACGGGTCACCGAGAACATATTGGGGAGGGTGGGCTGCTTCTGCGTGCCCTTCTTCCACGAAGCAGGGATCATACTAGCCCCAGGAGAGCTTGACTTGGTGGAAAAGTTTACGGAGGACTGGCTACCACAGGAACCAGGCTCTGGTTATAAAATAGGTGCTCAATGAATGAATGGATGAATACATGAGAGCATAAACTTTTGACTCTGTTCTTCAATGACCAACCTGATAGGAGCCATCATTCTGATCGAACCTTTTGAACTCAAGGTTCTCCTTTCCCCCAAGCTCGGGACGCTGTTGAGACTCTATAAAGACTCCGTGCACTTTATTAATTCAGGATTTTGCTCATTCTGTGCACACTGCTCAAAATACCCTTCTTCCTGCTTCCCTAACCAAATCCACTTGCACTTCAACACTCAGCCACCTGGCGTCTACCTTCCCTGTGAGGTCTGTCCAAAATGTCTCCCCTCTTCTGAACATCATAGCCCTCGTTGTCTCCACCATTCATTTGAGTATGAAGATGGACAATGCCTTATACGTCATTCCTGAGATGCTTCCTAGGTATCTCTTGTCTCATCAGCCACATCTGAAATTCTCTGAGTGTAGAAGTCTGTTGTTTTGTTCAGAGTTCTTTAGAGTAATAAACATATTACAGGTATAGGAGTGTCATACGGAAGAACTGACTGCGTGAACTGGAGTCTAGATCAGTGGTTCTCAACCAGGATAAGTGCCTTCCCCAAGAGGATGTTTCTCTATGCCTGGAGACATTTTTGGTGACCATGACTGGGCTTGTGCTACTGGCATCTGTGGTTGAAGCTGGGGTGCTGCTAAACACCCTACAGTGCCAGGATAGCCCCTCCTCAGACAAAGAATTTGGTGGCCCCAAGATTCAATAGTGTACTGTTAAGAAACTCTTGTCTATAGTATAGGATCTTCCTAACTTGTTAACCTTGTTTCTTTATTCTCCCAGCCAGACTTCAAATTCCATCCTTCAGGCTTCTATTCAAGCAATTCTCTAAAAAATGAATTCTGATCATATTACTCCCCTGGTTACTTTAGCAGTTGTTCACTGACTTTGACCAAAAATTCAAGTTTTTCATCATGGCCTTTATGACCTGGACCATGCCTTCTTCTTCCCTTCTTTACACCATTTCCTGCAGACCGACCACACCTGCCCCCCCACCCCCCGAGTTTCACAGACGTGTTGTGAACTCTCATACCTTGGCATCTTTGCACATTATGATCCTTCTGCCTGAACACCTTGTGGGAAAGTACTTATGTTACTCTGTGCTACTGCTCAGAGACCCACACTAGTGCAAAAGTCAGTGGAACATGTGTTAAGCACCTGCTGTGGGCAAGACATGGTAGCAGGTGCTAGTGAAATGGTAGTGAACAAGACAGAACAGTCCAACTTCTTGAGAAGCTGTCAGCACTCTCTAGTATAATTTTCTGCAATGAGGAACTGTCCTAAATCTGCATGAATATGGAAACCACTAGGCACATGTAGTGTTTGAACACTTGAAGCGTCATTGATCTTAATGGAGGTGTGCTGTACATGTAAAATACAAGTCAAGGTTGAAGATTTAGTATGAAAAAAATGCAGATGGTCTCGTTAATGAGCTCTGATAGGTATCTCTTCTGAGGCCCCTGGCCAACCCACATGGTGGCTGTTCTGATGGTTCTACCCACTCATCAGAGAAAATGAAGGCTCAGGAAGATCCAGGGAGGGCATTGCAGAGTCAGATAGCCAATAGGGCAAGGCCTGGCTCTGACCTGGGGCTGTGACTCAGCACACATCACTGAGCTCTACATAAGCTCCCCCTGTGAAACCCCTGACTGCCAATGGGCAAACAGAAGTCACCATAGTACCGTGCCATTGCCACCCTTCCCTCATCCACACCTGTGCAGAGAGCTGGCACGTCACTCGGTCACATGGGGATACAAGTTAAAATCTGGGGCCAGGAGAGAATGGGTTTCATCTAGCTGTCCACAGCAAGCTGAAGTGGCAGAACAGCCCCTCACAGAATGTGATGGTGGGACACAGGCAGTGCTGGCCTCTCCTAGGCATCTTGGCAAGCGGCACATGTTCTGCCAGCACTGGACAGTGCTCTGCAGCCTTGCAGGTGCCTCTGCTCTGGAGAAGTTTCTTTTCTGGAAAAGAAACTCCCTTGCTAAGTCCAGGGCCCTTGTTGAGCACAGCCCCCCCAGCCAGTGCCAGCTTCCCTGCTCATGTCCTGGTAGCCAGGCCCAGAATGGCAGCCTTCTGCATCCCTGCACTCAGTTCCTGCGGGCACATGAGGGCTCTGCTCCTTCCATGCCCTGACAACTCCAGTGGTATCCAGGGCCAAGAGCCTGGCTGCATCTGACTCTAGTTCCATCTCTTGGGTGCCCAGTGGACTGGCAGGGACTTCTAGATGGCTGCTTCCCACAGCCCCCACCTCTCCAAGAAGCCTCCAGTCGCGACCCTGCTGCTGCTCTTGATGCCTGGTTATTCTCAGCATCCAGCACAGCCCAGCAAGTCCTGTCAGCTCTACTGCCAAGATCTGCCAGAACCCACCACCGTCTCCATTTCCACTTCACCTCTTTGTCCGGGCTCCCTTTCGACAGTCTCCTTGTGGTCCCCTGCTGCACCTCAGGTTCACTTTCCCAAAGCAGGAGCATGATCTTCTTAACACAGAGTGTGGATCATGTGACACCATTATTGAAACCCTTTATTGACAGGGTCACGTCTTACTTATCTCTGTATATGAATGTTTTAGATTTAACTTGAGTTTTCACCTTTACAGAAAGATCAAATACGAGCAGACTCCTACATGCAGTTTCCTGACTGTGGTGTGTCTAACATGGGGAAAGAGACCACAACCTTCCAGGCCCTCTCCCTCTTCTCTCTCTTCCCACAAGTCACCCTGGGGTTGCTACTCACACTTGGTGTGCCTGTCACACAGGGCCGAAGCCCGCATGTCACACAGCCGGATTGTTCCTTTGCTGCTGCTGTACACGAAGGTGTTGCAGTGATGGGGGTGGAACTCGGCTGCGGTGATCACTTCTGTGAGCTCCTCCATGTTGGCTGGCTTAATGTCCACGATGTCTGGCACAGACGAGTCAAGGAGGAAACCAGAAGGGCCAGAAGCTCAAGGGGCATCAGCAACAGCACTGCCCTATGTTAGTGCACCATTCCAGCATTTACCACTCACCTGGTGGATCCTCATTGCACACTGGTCCCAGGCAGAGGAGGTTCAGGGACTTTGGGAAAATGGCCCAGGGTTACCTGGTACTCAGAGGTAGCATTAGAACTCAGGTCTCCTGACTCCCTGTTCGTATTTTATCCTCTGTGAAATCCACTCATGACCAAAGTACCTGCTAGTGCAACTGTGCTAAACGTACCAAATGGCAAAGATACTTGCTTCCCATTTTGTGACAGTGGTTAAGAAACCAGTCCCACTGCAACCAGATAACCAGTCCTGGACTGATCAATGATACCGGTGATGGACTGCAGATCCTCATCCATGAAAACTATGAGCCCTGCTTTAAGTATATGTTGATGGTGATGATAACAACAGTTGCCACCATTTATTAAGCATTAACTGTAGGCCATTCACTGTGCAAAGCATGTCACATACTTTCATTTAATCCTTAAAATCACTCTATAATCCGCATTTGTCTCAATCTCATTTTTCAGGAGAGGAAATGGAGGTTCTAAGTACGTAAAACAACTTGCCTCAAGTCACATGGCTATTAAGACAAAACTAGGATTTCATTCGAGCTGCAAAATCGGTGCTTTTTCATACTTATGCAAAATTTCCCTCATTTATGATATATAAGCCTCCTAGCATCTATAAGTTGTGATTTGCCTTCGAGTGTGTGAGGGAGTTTAAGTATCAGAAAGAAGCCAGTTACATGTATGGTGGGAAAGTTTTAGGCTCTCATGGAAATACCCTGAATTCTATCATCTGGGTTTTTTTCCCCAGTATTTCTCTTTCTGATCAAGACTTTTTATATCTGTTTTTTCAAGTGGGCATATACCTCTGTTTTTATTTACACCTCTGTTTTTGTGTATTGGAGTGAAACACTTAGTCTTTTATTTATGAAGGCGACTCAACAGACACACACATACCTGTGGGGTGTCCGACATGTGTGAAGGACTCTCCGCAGCTCTACCAAGAGCCTAGGGGCCAGAAGGCAGGCTGAGAGACACCCAGCTGGGACTGGGGTGCTGTCCGAGGACCAAGCAATCCCTGTGGGCCTCTGATGTGGGACGCTGTTGCTCAGTGAAGCTGACTGAGATGCTCCTGCTTTTCCTGGACGTCACCACCCGTGCACTGTTTTCGTGACATCTGCCCCATCTGGGAACCAGCAGGTTGTATTTTTTACTTAATATTTCTTTTCAAATCAACTTTAAGTTGATTTGCTTTTTTCTTTCCTCAGCCTTATCTAAGCAGTGTCCAGTATTAATAAAATTTGGGGTTTAATGCACTAGCTACATTCTAAATAGCATACATGAAAATAAATGTATAAAAATGAAAAGGAAAACACGTGTGCCAAGAGTTTGTGTGGGGACAGATGTTCTGTGCTTTTCATTAGGCAAGTAGCACCGTCCCCTCCTTAGAGTTTAGATGAGATTCAAGCAAATACACTGATCTCTTTAGTGCTGCCAGCCCTAAGTAGACATTTACTACCAAACATCACCTCTGGTCTTGTGACAATAGTTCCAACGTGAAATTTGTGGCAACGATGACTTTGTATTTGACTGTGCCTCCTTCCCCTTCAACGATCTCTTATAAATCCTAATTTTCCTGAAATTAGCTTGGGACTGAGCTTCTATTACACTTTACTGCAATGCCGCCCCCCCCCCCCACCAAATCCAGATGCAAATATGACATGGGACTCTAGGGCATACAGCTTCCCTGAATCCATAGAACACCACCTTCCAACTCAACCTCTGCCAGAGTTAGCAATGCACACTGGGATGGAGGAGCCCTGCCACGCGGGAGGCTCTGGGCCACAGCTCTGACGTACCCTCTATCCGGGGACCTATGCCATGGGCTTCATGGCCATGACACGGGTGTGGATAGGCAAAGGTTAGCATTTGGCTGTTGTCAGACTCCCTCGCTCTCCAGAAAGAACCTTGCTACCCTCCTGTGCCAGTGAGCATGCTTCTCTTTTCCCAAAATAGGGAAGAAAATCTGGTGTCAGCGTTCTCAACCTCTGCTGGTAGAGCTCTGCAAACAAGCTTAACTAGACGGGATCTTCATGGTGTGGGAGGGAGGCGCTACAACCACGGTAATTTTTTCCCACCTAAAAATAAAGCCTCAAAGTCAGAACATGTGAAAACAAAGTGCCGAAACATGTCTGTGAAACCAGGAACCAGCCTCGTCAAGGACACCATCATGGGGATGTGTCACAGCGTCTGCCTAGGACTGCTGCTTCTGGATCTTTCTATCCTTCCACTGGACCTGAGCCTGCTCACCACCTACCCTGTGCCCCAAGCCATTGGCTTCTTCCCCCCTGCAGTCTGAGTCCTCCTTTTTGATTAGAGTGCTTGTTTGGGCTTGACTCTATGGGTTCAGGGGATGAGCCACGACTCCACTCCTCTTTTAAATAACCGTGATGATGAGGAGAAGAGGAGGATGATAATGGTGGGCAGCTAATGTCCTGTCCAGAGCTCTCTAGTGTGTCAAACTCCCCCCTCAGCTCAGCCTTACTTGGGCAGTGCTATTAACAGCTCTATCCCACAGCCGAGGAAACAGTGACTAAAAAAAAACACTACTCAAGGTCACATGACTTGGGCAGAGCTGGGGTACGAACACAAGTTCCGTCAAGGCCTTTGCCCCCTGGCCTCCCAGTGTGACGATCCTATCTAAGCTGAGAGGGCAACTCCATCTCTCCTGGCTTTGGCCTGTGCTCTCCCCACTCACCTACCATTTTGGTGGCCACATTTTCCAGAGTCAGAATTTTATGTGTTATGATTTGATAAGAGTTTTTGAACCAGACTTTGGGACAGAGGCCTGACCAGGGATTTTTGGAATTGTTATCTGACAAAGGATTTGTTGAGTACTAGAAACACTTGCGGGGAGTCTAGCTGCTAAAAATCAAATGGCTCATGCGGATAACGGGAGAAGATGTTTTACATGTGCATCCTCTGGAAACTTGGGCCTTTCCCTTCCACTGTTCCAAGGGTGACACATGTTTGCGGCATATGCAGTTTCGCCCTTCACATTGGGAGGGAAGGAGAAAGGAGACAGCAGTGCATGGCTCCTGGGATAGTCTTGGAAATGGAATGATGCATTTGACAGTCAGTTTTCTCTTCCTTATCCTTTAGAGCTCTCTATCCAAATTATTTCTCTGTTGTCCCAAGTAACTAAATGGCAGAAGCAAGCATAGCATTAGATTCGTGGCTAATATACAACCCAGACAGCCAACAGATTGCTATTAAATTAACCCTGGGGCTTGACAGATCTATTCTTCCTGACTCAACTGCTTACAGCATTCCTTATTAACGTGGAGCCCAGGCAAATGACATCGACTAACAAAAGGGGTTAATCTGGCTCTCTGCTGGGACTCTGGAGGCAGCTCATGGACAGGAGGGGGCACAGCCAGCTTGGCAGCTGAGCTCCAGCTCAGAAGGCAGACGGCGGCAGGAAGGTGAGGGCACCGCTGTGCCAGGCAGTAGCCCGAGGCATCATTTAAAATAATAATTGGAGACACTGGGAGGTCACTCCTTCAGGGACCCACTTCAAACAAATGAGAAGCCAGAGCCTTAAATGACATCCGTGTGGGGTGAAGGAGCAGAGAGGGTTGGGGCGGGATGGTGAGAGGTGGCATGGGGGCCATGCAAAAGCCATTTCCCCAGTCCTAAGTTTGGACAAAGCTTTCTACAAAAGATGTCTACCACAATATTATAAAAGGAATAGACTGACAACAACCCGAATAAATGTACAGGAATGAGGAAGAGACTGAGTGAATTTTTATCTATCTATTAAATTATTTTTGCAGAGAAATTTCCAAGCCTGTATAAAACCATAGTATGCAAAATTCTAACTATAGTATAATCACAATGTCATTTAAAAATTATACTCTGAAAACGATGAGCTATACATCAAGACACCAAAATGTTAATTTTGGTGATTATTCTATCAGGTGGATCTATGAATAGTTTGCCTTTTCTTTTCAATTATCAGTACCATTTCCACATTTAAAAAATAAAGTTCTGGTATTTTTAGGGTGGAAAAAGACTCAGGACACTTTCTTTGCTTATTATATATATTATTTTGGGTGAGAAAATTTAGGTACAAAGTAGATACAGTCTGACCACAGTCACATAAAAAAGACACACCACACACACACACACACACACACACACACGGAGGAAGGAAGGAGATACGGTTGTATTTTGTAGGGAGATTAGATTCTAAAGTTAGCATGTAAGTTACACTTTAGTAACTCGGGTCCCTTCACTCATTTATTGCTTCATATTTTCTACAAATGTTCCCACAGAATCTCATTCTGCCAGTGCTCTTCTGGGTGCAGGGAATACAGCAGTGACCAAAGCAGACCACACTCCCTGAACCATAAAGCCTTTGTTCTAGTAGGAGATGTGGTCAATAAAGAAGGTGAATGAGTAGAGCAAATAAGATAGTAGACAGTGATAACTGCTAAGCAGAAAAATAAAGCAGGAGAGGGAGAAGGTCAGTCTCTCTCTCTCTCTCTCTCTCTCTCTCTCTCTCTCGGTGTGTGTGTGTGTGTGTGTGTGTGTCCTAGATTGAACAGAAGCAAGGTTTCTACGTAAATCAAGATTTCATCTTTTTGGGGGGGATGGGCTTTTCTCATTCCTTTCCCCTCCTGTGACCATACTGCTAAATTAGCTACATTTAGTTAAAGCTGTAATGCAAATCCAATGTCTATACAGCAAAATTGGGATGAGATTATTCATCATTTTATTTTCCTTAAATCTCTACAATGAATACATATTATTCAATAGACAAAAAATATTTAATTTTAATTTTTTTTTGAGTTGAGTCTCACTCTGTCACCCAGGCTGAAGGGCAGTGGCACATTTCTGGCCACCACAGCTCGACCTGCTGGGCTCAG